AAACTGCTTTGCGTTTAAATGGTTAATCCTATTTTTCAGTATTCATTAGCAAAAAGGAAGCTGGCTGTTACATCGTGTCCTCCCATGTAAGCAGTTGCTGATTAAGCTCTTATTTTTGTCTTTTTTTTGGGTGCATTTTATGACAAGATTAATATTTATAATATTATAAAATAATAATATTTGATTTCATATTTTTAAACTAACCACAGTGCTGGATTACAACAGCGTGCATTTCAGCAGGGAAATTCAGCTGTTTTCCAAACCTCTTTCTAAAACACTCACTGTACTGTAATGCCCTTTTCCTAATATTTAATGAGTTGAAAACACATTTGGAATCGCATCATCTGCCTTGAATCCTAAAGCTGCTTCGGATTCAACTAGGGAGCCATAAGTGCAACGTTTCCAAATGTCGACCGAACATATGCTTGCATCCGTGTCCTCCTGATGGGATCATTTGCATCCTCCGACCGCCGCAGAGTTCAACACGAGGGGGAATCGTGCGACGAATAAAAGTAGGCTACAGGCTTTTTATTTTTATCTGGTCAGAATGATGATGAAACTGCTGGTTGTATTATCCCCATGTCCCCGCCCTCTGCTGCCTCCAGTTTGTAGGTTACTGAAAGATTTCACCAACCACAGCAAAGAAGATTAGAGAGGAATTAATGGTATTCCTTTGTCATTATAGGAATAAATTGATATTTGGTTTTAAATCAGAGGGTGGGGAGCTGCAGCAACATGTTGTGTCAGGAGATGTAAGCAGAGGGATGGCACAGTGACAAGCAAACTCAGCCGGAGGGGGAATGCCTGCGCGCTGGAGCTAAGCACCGGATATCTCAACTGATGTTCACCATGTTACAGGAGATGAGAGAGCAGGACAACGTAGCTGGGCTTGAGCGTGGCGGGACAGAATGAGCGCTGCTGCTGGGACATGGACGTGGGAGTAGAGGACGGGGACAGCTGTGGCATTCCCTGGGCAAGACACTGACCAAGTGGGAGGGACGTCTGGGTTCCTCTTGTCTTTCCAGCCTCAGCTCAACCATGAGAGTGGCCCTCCTGGCCTTAAGACTGATGTGCTTGGCCTGGTTGTGGCCTGTCACTCAGCTCAACAGCAGCCACTTCCCCAACAAGAGGAGACACAAGGAGCAGTACGTAGGAGAGAACACCAAACCAAAGTATGGAGGGTGAGTCAAAGCCACGTTTCTGAACTGAGGAGCTTCTGTAGCTGTTAAGATGGGCCTTTTGACAGCTGACATCTATATTCTTAGACTTTATGGAAGGTTTTTCTGTATGTTACCTTCACAGACATCATTGCATAATGCATTAATCAATGTTTTTCATTAATGTCAAAGTAGATCAAGGCTGCAGGCCGTGGACAGGATCATGTGATGCACGTATTGATGGGAAAATTGCTGCTGAATGACAAAAAAAAACGGTTATTTAAATCATTCCAATCAATTTGTTTCTAGAAATCCTCTCAGTCGAAAAACTAATTCAGTTGTGAGATCAACTGAGGAGACAGATACTATCGAGTCCCCACGATATGCCCGACCCAGTTACAAGTGTCAATACACGGAAAATAAAAGAACTCATTTGCTTTGGGCCGAGGCCTTTGGTTTTAATCAGAGTGCTAAAGTCCAATTAACCGTCACTAACTCCATCGACCAGATGTCAGCTCCGTTTTAAGTTTAAGACAGGCAGAGAGAGATTTTTACACAAGCTGTTTTTTTTTCCAGACGGGTGGATCTTAAAATGAAAAAGCTGGACAGCACCAAGTCTCTGCTAATTAAATCTGAGCAGCTGCTTCGGATTGAAGACCATGACTTTGCAATGCGCCCCGGCTTCGGAGGTAAGGCACAAATCTCATCCATCCTTCTATTTAATTCTCATTCTTCTGAATATTCCTATTATTTATAAAAACCATGTGCTTTCCTGGCAACTCAGTGAGGTTAATGTAGGTTACTGTGCTGTCTTTGGTATTACGCCTCCAAAAAAAAACCCCATTGTGACCTAGATTGTCTGCCGTGTGAGACAATGACTGCAGACAGTAGTGCAGATAAAATAATCTGAACTGTGTTCCTAATTCTGTGTCTGTGTGCACTTCCAAGCGCAGCCCTGCATTTTGTTTACACCTTTGTTTCGAGCAAATGATGCACAAAAGCAATTGATTCAATAATTACATTATATTCAAGTTTATCTCTCTTATCTGTACGAACAGGAACCACATGCTCACCGTGTTCCTACTCACTCATAATTTCACATTTCATTAAATGCTCCTTTTCTCCAGTCAAACAGTGTTGCAGGTTTAGCAAATGGTTGAGTTGGAGTCTTCAGCAGATGTTTTCTCAGTTGCTTAATTCTGCCTCAGAATATAATATACTTGAAACACTGTACCTGAAAAGTGAAGCAGATCCTCCGTATAATAAATACAATCCTCTCAGGATTCATGACTTGTGCCATGAGTTGCACCATGTGACCGTTATAAATATATATTTATGGCAATCAAGTCAGATTTATTTATTTAGCACTCTGACTATAGCAGACTTCCTGTATTGCTGTCACTGTGCCAACTCTTGTGTTTTTTTTATGCAAACAACAGATTTTACAATATAAGCAAAGCATTAATGGTTGGATTTTATGCCTTATGCAGTAGAAGATTTCCTTTTCTTTAATAACTGCACATTTACTGAATCTATCAACACCTCTCATTCTAATTTCAGATTCACATAAATAAATCTACTACTGTTTGTCGGTAGTTTACTTTGTGCCTATGTTTACTTAAGTAAAAGTACCAATGAATTGAAAGTATTCTGTTAGTATTACCAGCAACACGTAGTTAAAGTATTAAAGTAAAAGTACTGGTTTGGCCCCTCTGACTAATACATTATATGTGGCATTATTATATTATTAATAGTGAAGCATCAGTGTGTCAGCAGCATGTTGTAGCTGCTGCAGGTGGAACCAGTTTGAACCTATTTACATACAGTATTATAAACAGAGACAGCAGATAAATCTGAGGGGGTTATCAGATGATTCATGTCAAGTGAAAATCTACATTCTGACACACACATCTGTTTCTCAGATTTTCTGCTTTTTCTGTCATCTGTGATTTTTGGTGAGATGTTGCATCATTTTGACATTTATAGAAATGAAACCATATGAGAGGTTCAGAGGGAAAAAATCACTATATGGTGGAGCTGTTAGCAAATCATAGACATCTGAGATATGACTCAGACTACACACTGGCTTTGTAAGATGTCAGAAGGTAAAAAGGATAGAACTCACTGCTTAAAGTTTTAATTATGTATTTTAAAAATGTGTTATACGCCATCTTAAAAGTAACTAAAGCGTCAAATGTGGTGAAGTGGGAAGTACAATATTTCCCTTTGAAATGTAGTGAAGTGGAAGTATTAGGTTACATAAAGGGGAAATGCTCAAATAAAGTTTAAGTACCTGAAATCTATACTTAAGTAGAATATTTGAGTAAATATACTTAATTACTTTCCATCACTGTCAGTGGAGTTGATGAATTGTCTGCAACAGGTTTTCCCATTTGCTTCCAAACATTTTGAGACATTTTCAATGCCAAACAGCATCAGTGAATTGGTGGGTTGAGTAAACTCTGCTTATCATCCTTTATTAACTCATAAAATAATTACAGCTCAGCAAAAGCGAGTCATTTGCTCCATCTTGCCTGCTGCGTTTCCTGTAGCTGATCTCTTTCCTCATCTGCACCTGTGACTCGTAATCTGTGTATTTTGCTGCGCTTGACCTTTAAATAACAGTTTAAATGCTCAACTGGTGACACCAGTTTAAAGAGCTTCAGTGATCTAACTCTGTAAAAAAACAACAACAAGAAAAAACAGGACATTATATTCAGGACCCCAACAGCCCCGATATAATCCGTCCCAATTCACTACTCAGCTGTAATCGTAGACTGATGGTTATGAGTGCTTACCTTCATTAGGTAATGGCACGGAGGGAACTGGATGTTTATAGTACACATCATACGTTAGCCGTATTCTGTCACTGCACGATGACATAAGAACCATTCCACTTATTATACACTGGACTGGATATTTATGTAATCAGACAATATGGTGGTCTTTCACGTAGCAGTGCAACATCTCAGTTTCTTGAGGAAATGTTTGGGTTTATTCATAGAGGCTGTTAATGTAGTTGTACTGTAAGTTGAATTTCATTGTTGTTTATTGGCAGCACAGCCATGCATAGCAGTCTTATGAGCTTGTTTCTTGGGCTGAACTTTCCAGTAGAGTTTGCATTTTCTTCTGGGTTTACTCCAGCTTACGTGAGCTAAAATACCCACAGACAAGATTCTTTGTGGCAGTTACTATTTGTCTTACGGCATGCTGGGAAATGCATGATACTCTTGCTGAAACTAATGGATTTTAGCTGTGTAACACAAGGGATATTTTTGTTTTTTTTGTATCCATGTTGCTTGTTGTACTGAGCTGGTTATGTTCCCACAGGTCAGATTTCAGAAATATAATAAAACTAGATTTAAAGGATTTGTTGTTTTGCCAACACTAAATCTACTGTATTTGGTTTCATTAGTTGATCTAACAGCAGTTTTGAAAAGTTATCATCTCAAAACATGCATTTCTGTAGTTTATCTGAAATAGGCTAGTGTCCAATCAAGTATTTCATAATGCTGCCTCATCTGGGACAGCTCCAGAAAGATGAGATGACAAGAAACCATTCAGGTATTTTATCTGTGCTGCCTGAGTGAGCAGCAGACTTGTCTTCCATCTGAGGTTTTTTGTCTATGAACCAATCTGCCATTTGTGTGTCACTCATGAATGATGTTGAAACGCTGCAGTATTCATTAAAAGATTACACGAATGCAAAGCTAAGCTGAATATTGCTTAGTCATGCTTAAGAATCACCATGATGTCCGGGTCATTCCCTCCGTCTAACCTATTGTCTGTGACGTTAGCAAGATGTGGGTTAAACCAATCAGACACAACATTAAAACCAGTTGTCTAATATTGTGAAGATCCTGATCGCCAACCTGTCGAGGCCCAGACTTCACAGGCCTCTGAAGGTATTCTGATATGTCAGGTACCGAGGCGTTAGCAGCAGAACCTTTAAGTCCTGTAAGCTGTGAGGTGGTGCCTCCATGGATCGGATTTCTTATTCAAGCACATCCAACAGATGCTGGATGGAGTCATGTTCCTCAAACCATTCCTGAACAATGTCTAGCTGAAAAAGGCTACTGCCATTAGGGGATATTGTTGCCATCAAAGGGTAAAATGTTTAGGTGGATGGTTCGTGTAAAAGGAACATCCACATGAACATCAGGGTATCAAGAAGAACGCTGTGCAGAACATCATAATGTCTCCACTGGCTTGTCTTCCTTCTTGTTACCAACTCCAAAAAAGCACACCTGACTGTCCACAGGAAGTAAAAGAAAATGTGATTCATCAAACCAGCTCACCTTTGTTTCATTGCTTCATGGTCTAATTCTGAGTAGACAGAGTTCAGCATGGCCACTCTGACAGGTATACAGCTACACAGCCCCATACACAGCAAGCTGCAATGGACTTTGTATTCTGATTTCTTTCTACAATACACTGTAAAATCCATTCAAAAAACAGAAAAATCTGGAGAAAGGTTACTAAAAAAAGTTTTAAAAAAATGTGAAATATTGTAATGTTCAAAAACTGCAAAAACATGTGAATATAAAAGCAAATATTTCTATAATAATGATATTTTTTGAACAAAGAGTTTAGATTGACATACCTTTAAAAACAGTAAAACTGTGTAATTTTAATGTCACAAAAATACACATTTTTGATGTGGGCATTTTTTTTTCAACATGTAAATTAATACTTTTTTTTCTGTGATTTTACTACTTGTGTTCATTTTAACAAAACAGAGGACATCTGTAAAATAGATTTACCATTTTTCAGTCCTCAGTACATTAAACAGTTTCCCAAATGATGGCAAATATCTGTAAAACAACAACATTTTGGCTGCTTTAAATACAGTAAAAATTGGTGTAATTTTATGGTTAAATGTTCTAAAAGAACAAATTATCATTTAGGGGAAAAAAAGACTTTTGATGTCATCATAATTTATAGCTTTGTCCTTTTTTCTGTTTTTAGTATATCATATAGGTTTTTAACAATTAAGCTATAAACCAATAGCTTTATCTGTGATGTCATTAGTTATTTTCCAAAATTTTCCAAAACACTGAAAAACAGTAAAATAATATAGAAATTTGTATGATTTGTGAAATGCGTTGTCCTACAGTAGCTTGTTTGTAGCATCAGACCACACAGTCCAGTTTTAGCTCCACATGTGCACTGGTTTGTGCATTGGTGAGCCTTGGGCGCCCATAGTCCTCTCACTGCTTCACCAGTTGGCCATCCTTGGAGCACTTTCATTACGTACTAAGCACTGCATACCAGGAACACCTCACAAGACCTGCTCTTATGGACGTGCTTTGACCCAGTCGTGTGGCCATCACAATTTGGTCCTTGTGAAAGTCACACAGATCCTCACGCTGCTAATTGTTTCCTTCCAGCACTTCAAAAACTGAATGTTCACTTGCTGCCAAATATAAACTCCACTTGGCAGCTGCCGTTGTAACAACATTAAATCAATGTTATTCACTTCATCTGTCAGCAGTTTTAACTTTGTGACTGATTGGTGGATGTCTTAGCTTATAGCTCAGAGGTGGGTTTTACATAAACTGTGTCAGACGTGCAGATGATTTGTGGATGATGTTATCTCAGTGTTGCTTAAAGCTGATCCATCACAACATCTGACTTGTTGCAGGTTCAGCTATTCCTGTCGGCATCGACGTCCAGGTGGAGAGCATTGACAGCATATCTGAAGTCAACATGGTACGAGCCTTTGAGATCAATCCTGTCAATATAAATTGTCTCCCTTTTCTCTGCTGGGTTTGAGCATCAGTGTCGCTATTTGTTTTTCTTTTTGAGGACTTCACCATGACTCTCTACTTGAGGCATTACTGGCAGGACGACCGCCTGGCCTTCCCCTCCAGCAACAACAAGAGCCGAACCTTCGACGCGCGGCTCGTGAAGAAAATTTGGGTTCCAGACGTGTTTTTTGTCCACTCCAAGCGCTCTTTTATCCATGACACAACCATGGAGAACATCATGCTGAGGGTTTATCCTGACGGCAACATCCTCTACAGTGTGAGGTACAAACAAACAACATTCACTTTTGCTGAACGGCTGCAGCGGCCACTGAATGTACTCTGTACTTTCTAAGAGTTTCTCTTCAGTCATTCAAAGACATTATTATGGTTATCTGCATTAAAATATAATGTAACAGGAACACAGTCATATGAGTTACACAACATCTAGCTAGAGGACAAGCCTCCACTAGCTACTGGTAATACACAGATGGCAACACAAGACCAAGGATGATCGTAGCACTTTATGACGTCAACTATAGATCTGGATGAAAAGGGGTGTAGTTCTTCTCACTTTACTCTTCGATGTGTATATCACAGCAAGTCACAAATTGATTGGTGATGAAAACAAACAACCGGCCGGACTCGTATTTCAGGGTTTAGTCAGCAGAGTCTGAATATGAGAAAGCAAAAGCTAGAAGAACTGTAAGCTTTTAGTCTGCGCTCATAATATCCATTTCACGCACAGATGTCAACAATATGGTGTCACTGCTAATGGTTTGCTGCAGTTTATGCTGCCGTTCACATCCTAACAGTTAAACTGCAGTCCAGCAGCTTTGTTTAATATCCTCTTTGACATCTGTAATCGGGTTCACTGAGGTTAATCTGCGCAGTCAAACTCTAAAAGAAGTCACCTGTTAATACATATACAAGTTTTTTTTTTCTTTCTTTTTTTTTTTAACACAGCTCTTGATGCTGAATGATTGATTTCTTCCACTGTGTTTTAGGATCACTGTGACTGCACTTTGCTCAATGGACTTCAGCAGTTTCCCTCTGGACACCCAGAACTGCTCTCTGGAGCTGGAGAGCTGTGAGTATCAAACTACGCTTGTCCGCTTACAAATGCCTGAGAGGATATCCAGTGTTATTTCCAGAGAAATTATTTTAATTCCTGCATTAAATGTGTTCGTCCTTGCTTGACATTTTGCTGGTAAACACGTTACACAACCTTTGATAGACTGTTTTGTAATTTAAAGATGGTGGCGACAGAAAGCTTTCAGCTTGTTAAATTATTTAACAGTATCCATATAAGTGGTCAAAAACACCACTCGATATCTGTGAGTGTAATTCAGCGGGGACGGAAACACACACTCCACAGCTCACAGTCCATTACTTCATAAACACACAGTAGCCATCTTCTCTGTGCATAAACAAGTCATAATCCTCAACCAGGTCAAATCTCTGTCCATTATACATGTTTGTCTTTCAGATGCAGGATTTAGGGCTTATTTTTAGAGTCAGGAGGACTTTTTGACGTAGAGTTTGGGGATTCTTTTTTTAGCTTGTTTCTATCTGTTTATATATCTCTCTCTCTGTCTCTCAAAATTATTACACGGATGAAACATGGATGCTGATCTCAGAGGAGAGTCAGGAGTCCATTTTTTTGTGATCTCTCTTCTGTCTTCTGAGACTGACTCTTCTTACACCTCCTCTCTGTCCTCTCTTGAAGATGCTTACAACGAGAACGACTTGATGCTCTACTGGAAGAACGGGAATGATTCATTGAGGACTGAAGAGATTGTGCTCTCTCAGTTCTTTGTTGAAGACTTCCAGCCTTCTTTTGGCCTTGCCTTCTACAGCAGTACTGGTACGTGAGGCTTAAGTGCTGGTCCTCTTTGAGTTGGATCCAATTTGGAAAGAGCTCCTGACTAATACTTTAAAAACTTGAGATGTTTATAACCCTATACAGGATTATAGTTTCTTCACCTCATGGTTGGTTTCCACGAGAAGATTGCTGCAGTTTTACACCTTCTACCAATCAGAGATAAAAATCTGGACTGGGACCTTGGGCTGGACTGAAGCTGGGCTTTGATTATTCGATAACATAAAGGATTAAAAGATCCAGTCTTAAACTTCACCGACTTATCAGAGCCGTCCCAATCATAACATGTTTAACACTGATGAGTTAAAATCTAGATGGCTACCATGATCACATTACTGCCAGGAGCAACGGATGCTGTTGCCAAGCAAAACATTGTAACCCTTGAGGTTAATGTTAGCTACAGAAAATCCTACCTTGAGTAAATCCAGATTCACTTTCTTCTTTCGTTTTTCCTACTGCTAAATGTTATTCGCATTACAGCAGGTTGATACAGCACACTCTCCATTTTGGTAACATCTACTTCCCCATGAGATCAGGTGAAGAGGCGCACTGCTCCATGATTACTCTCTCTCGCACAATAATCTTAATTTTTTCCAATCCTGCATGTCTGAGATTAGAGAGAAAAATATCTGCAATGTTCAAAATGTGTTAGGATATAAGACTTCTTCGCTTTCGGACAGCTTCAAATTTATGTGCACAATGAAACGATGAATAAACAACACTCAGCTCTCCTTTCAGAGCTTTTCCATCAATAGGTCTGAACATATTCAACTTTCAATTTAAATCATTTTGCTTTCTAGATGACAGTTTTGTAAGAAGACGATACCACTCTTATACTGTGTCCATAGGGAATCCAACAACCAGCACCTACAGCTCATGAATTAACACATTATTTTGTTTGCTGTTGCTGTGTTTGCAGTGTTTAAAGGCAAACTAACCGGCTGCCAGTTTACTCTATAGACACGACTAAGTGGTGCTGAAAATAAGCACAGTTGCCAAAATGATGACAAGTGAATCAATAACCTTTCTGCAATCCAGAGAGGTATTGATTTATAACAATGGGATGATGAGGAGAGAGAGCAGAGTGTGAGTGACTTTTTTTTATTCTAAAAATTACCCTATTTTAGTGTATTCTTCACATTTTTATTATTTGATTATACTTATATATCAACATCGATAGTAAATAAAGTTTTATCTCTGTCTAGTTGTTAAGGTCATAGGCTAAAAAACAACAACGTACAAGTTCAAGAAATCATCTGCCCTTTTTTATGGCAACATATTGTCATGTAATATTGCTTCTATGGGATTATATGCGTTATTAATTTAAGCATTTTAGAGTTGTATGACCACTAAGCCCACTTTATGAAACCTTGCCTGCTTCTACTGGCACATTTTCAGTGTGAAAAAAGAAAGCGAGGAAAGAAGCCAGAGAGATTTTCATCTCAGTGTGAAATAATCTTGTGGGGACCAAACCGCTCTAAGAGGATGTTATATAACTGCAGCTCTAGACAGATCTGCCCCAGAAAATAATCACTTTCTCCTCTGAGTTCGAGGTTCTTCTCATGGGTTCATCTTGTACTTTCTTAGAACTGCCATTATACAAGCCTTTGCTGCTGTGTTTTCTGCTGTTGCTGACTGTTGTCACTCTGCCTGCCCCATTTCAGGTTGGTACAATCGGCTCTACATAAACTTCATTCTCAGGAGGCACATCTTCTTCTTCATGCTTCAGACGTACTTTCCCACCATGCTGATGGTGATGCTGTCCTGGGTGTCTTTCTGGATAGACAGGAGAGCCGTACCTGCCCGAGTCTCCCTGGGTACTGACGCAATGAGTCGACAGTAGCATTAACACGAGAAATAAAAACAACAACTTTTTATCACATGCAACTAAAAGTGATCGACAGATTTATCTAACAATAGTGTGAACTAGGTTTTTCTTTTTACTTTAAGAAGTACTTTGACTTTTTGGGAAATATTAACCCTCATGCTGACAGTTAAATGGGGAGATAGATGCCGCTCTCATATGTGCAAGCTAAATATTAAGAAGTTTCCTTTGCCGAGCACAAAGACTAAAAATGGTGAGACTTATCCGGCTTATCAGCACCTTTAAAGCTCACAAGTTAATGTGTTATATTGTTTGTCTAATCCAAGCAAGGACCTTAGTTGAAGCCTCTGAACCAGCAGCAGTTTCTGGGTGTTCTTGCTCCTGTCACATTGTTATTTACTCTGGGCTCATTTTTCACTGCAGTATAAAGTCCTGCACACCTATGGAAAGAGAACAGCCAAGGCTAGAAATAGAAAGAACTTTAAATGTCTTTTGTGTAGTATGACATAGTTAAAATGCAATAAATCACAAAAGAGAATATGAAAACTGAGTTCCTTTGATTGTTTTTTTCCCCAAAATTTAAAGAAAGAAAAAAACATAAATCAACATGTACAACATTTTTCCAAGTGCCAACAGTAGTTGGCAATACTGGAAAAAAAATGCTTTGACTCTACACCCCATGGATATTTTACTAGTATCCATACATGTCTCCTAATTAAAAAGGAGGACTAAAAAGTTAAAGAATGTTTGTCATGTGGCTGTTGGTTGGAGCTGAGTTGTGATTTTTAATAAAATATCAGAATTTTAAGCTTAGATTTGGTTCATTTTCCCAATAGAACTACACATCAGAGATGATTAGTTCAAGGACTGTCCGAAAGTTGTAAATCCATCGATCTCTCTGTTGTCACAGTTTCCAGGTCTGATAAATTCTATGATTTTGGACAACATGTCTTTCAAACAAGTTTTGGGGTTCAGAGGGTTAAACATGACAAAAGTTGCAGCTTGTTGTTTGTGGAGCCCTTGGCTGGGTGTGTCAAGCAAACAGCAGAGGTTATCAATCTTGTCAGCTCTCAGATGGAAAAAAAACAACAAAAATAAGCATATTGCCCCAAATTCTGTTACTGCTACAAATATTTCTTTAAATTCTTGTGCTGATTTTAAGCAAAATTATTTTTTATGAAAGGTATGATGAAGATCTTGTCATATTTTTCTAAGTTTACAGTGAAAAATGCAAACGTATTTACAGTCTAAATGATCTACTGCTTTAGGTTGTGCATCAGATCAAAAGGGCAACTGCAAGTGGACTTTTCCTAATACTTAGAAAAACATTTGCCACTTCACAGTTATAAATATTGGGTACCCTGTAGCATTGTGGCATATCTGGTGTTCTGACCTACATTCACCTACAAAGGATAATCCATTCAAATGTTGTAAAGCAGCATCTTTAACACTAATAATATGCTGTACTTCTGCCCTCTGTATCCAGGCATCACCACGGTTCTGACAATGTCCACCATCATCACTGGTGTCTCAGCCTCTATGCCACAGGTGTCTTATGTCAAAGCTGTAGACATCTACTTGTGGGCAAGCTTCCTGTTTGTCTTTCTGTCCGTCATCGAATACGCCGCCGTCAACTATTTCACCACAGTAGAGGAGATGAAGAAGCTCAAGAGGGCGAAGGTTATTCATATTTTGCGGACTCTACTTTGTTCTTAAATCTCACGCGACTTTATTTGGCCCACAGAAACCAATATGTCACCATCTGGCAATCCTTCAAAGCCTCACGTCATCCGCTCTGCTCCCTCTTTCCCTGCAGATCCCCAGCTCCTACAACGCCACTCAGGCTATGGTCTACGACGGCTGCTTCCACGACAACGACATCGACCTGGCATCTTTCACGGAGGTCGCCAGCACCCCAAATACCGAGAGGAACACCCAGTCTCGAAACTCCACTGTCTCTGGACCCACAGAAGGCACCAGGCTACGACGCAAGCAATCGCTAAAAAAGAACCTCAGCTTTATAATGAGCAACAGCTACATGATCGACTCGTACTCCAGAGTCATCTTTCCTCTCGCTTATCTGCTCTTCAACATCATTTACTGGAGTTTGTATGCATAGTATAACAAACTGTGCAGCAGAGCATTCTTTCTTTTGACTATTTTCGCCATCAAACAGACTGCAAAATCTTACAATAACCTTACAATCCTCTGTTTTTGCTGTGGGATATGACTTCAGGTTTGCACAGGGTCTGCTGCTGAAGAAAGATGTCTTTTGTGAGGTGTTCAGTTGTAACTCGGAGAAAATCTGATAGCAGCTGTTGCCGTGCATGGCTGTTATTTTCATGAATGTTTGTATGTTTGTGGCATGTCTGGTTTATAAGAGAAGAAGTTTCAATCAAGCAACTATATTAATATTTTTAGGATTATATTTTATTGCTTGATTAGACACAGAACTTATTTAAATATTGTACAACTTTGTCAAAACCTAATGTATGCTATTAAAGATGTGGGTCAAGCTACATGTTTTCTGACAAAGCTTTGTCTTATTTGACTTTTTGCTGTTGTTTGAAACATCAGGTGGGTCCTTATGACCAAAAAGAAAAAGAAAAAGCAATGTTTGAATTCAGTAAATAAGTGATTTTGAGGTTGTAATTGAAATGCTGCATTGCCTACACCCATCTTTACTTGCTAGCTGTTCTTTTCTTCCTGTGTTGGCACAGTGTAGCATATCTTGGTGTGTTACTGACCTTTGTTGCTCAGTAGAACAATGTGAAATGCAATGACAGGACTGTGTGCATTAGATACACCCACGTATCAGGTCCTGCAAGTGGAAGAAACAGAAACCCATAAAAAAACAGTAAAGCACAAACTTTAAGGAAGCAGAGGTTCAAGTACAGTTTAGTTTCTCTTCTGATCTCTACCATCTCTTGAATTTTGAGATGTTAAATGCTCTACCTTTGTTCACCACCTGTTTGCTGGAGTGAACCGTTGTAGAAATGACCTTCTTGCATCGTAATCACACCTCCATCTGCTCATGCCGACCACGTAAAGCTCCAAAACGGTCATAATTTTGATATCGTTCATTTTATAAATGTCTCAGTTGGACATATACTATATATTTTAGTGTCCCATGCAGACTTCCTGAACGGTAATATACAGAGAAAGATCACATTTTAAACTAATTTATGCAAAGCAGTAATTAGAAGATGGAGAATTGAAAGGCAGTAAGTGGAAAAAGGAGATTATAATGCCATAAAGTCAGTTATACTTGATTGTGTCACATCGTGTCGTAGAATATGAAGCCGACAGGAGGCCAGATTCATCAGAGGTAATAGATTGATAATGTGAAGAGCATGACCAGAACCCCCTTCCAAACGCTCAGTGGGCTCAAAACATGTCTAAACGTGACTATTATTCATTAAAGCTTTAAAATGAATCAGGAATCACTATGATTTATTTAAGTTATAGGGCGTCTTAAAGGACTAGTTAATTATTTTGATTAGAATTCATTTTCTCTCTTGCTGAGAGTTAAAAGACAAGATTGGTTCCATTCATGTTTATATGTTCAGTATGAAGCTGCAGCCGAGAAGTCGTTGGTTTAGTTTAGCACAAAGACAAAACAGATGGAGGTACTGTCTGGTAAAGGTGAAAACAATCTGCCCAGCAGCACCACTGAACCTCACTAATTAATATGCCTAAAACAATGCCAGCAACAGAGCTGAACACCTTCTGGCAATGACGTCAAGTAAATCCTTCAGAATTAACTGCATTTATGTGTACATTTCTAAAAATACTCACATTGAAGTTACAAGAATGTTTGTAGCTACTGTAGAGGTCTGGTGTGTAGGATACTGTGGGATCTATTGGCAGAAGTAGTATATTTTAATCAAAATTGTAATTTCATTCGTGCATGACCACCTAATTAGCTTAGAATGAACCCAGAGGGAGAAAGTCCATCATGTCCAGAACAGACAAACCAACCACTGGTTTTAAAGAGGGCATTCTGTGTTTTTAGCAGAGTATGTATACGTCTATTTAGTTGGTTGCAGTCTTGAACAAACTGATGAAGCCATACTTGCTGTTTCAAAGAATGTGCAGCACTTCATATGTGATGTAAACAGGGCACTGTATGCAGCAACACAAAAACATCATCCCAGAGGTGGAGTACAGTGGAGACAATGTCGTAGTTTGGGGCTGATTTGCCGTGTACATGCTCTTGAAAAATTGCAGTCAAGTTTAATATGGTCAAGAAGACCACCAGCTGAACCCAGATATCAAAGTAAATTTGTCTCAGCGTGTATTTGATTTAAAGTTTGAGAGGGAATAGATGTCCTTCTGCTCAATTTGTTGGATCTTCAGGCCCAAAACTCCCTGCTGTATTCTGTTAGAAACAACTAACCACAGTAAGGAGGTCCCTCAGCTCCACAAAAATCAGTGTCACTCTACTGGACTAATGTCTGATGTGTTACTTCAGGTCACACTGACACCACTAACAGTCACAGTGAGATGTTGGCAAAACAGGGAGGACACACATGCAGACTAAGAACAGGCAGAGAGAAACAGTTTGATGGCCAATTCATGCAATCTGCTGATACAAAGCAGGAGCTTACAGGCAGCTTGTAGGTAGGCCAGAAAACAAAGTTTAAAACCAGACAGGAGGTTTGAAAAAGTAGCACAGAAGGAATCTGACCTGCTCAGCTGGACGTGCAAAGATATTTTGGGAAAGAAAGACTCTGGAGACTGCAGTAGTGATGAGGCGAGTGGGAACAGGTGAGCTTATGGAGGAAGAGTGAGCAGGTGAGGTGGGCGTGGTGGACCGGAGACAGACTGGCAGACTGAGGACATCTGGTGGGTGAAAAGGGTGGTGCATGGAAAACAACAGCAGCACTGAAGACATCCAGACAGCTTTGGGCCCAAACAACTATTTGAGGGTGATAGCGATCTGCTGTGATGAAGCAGCTTTAACTGATCGGCGGCGGACACCAAAAAAACTATCGCTATTTATACCACAGACAGATTGGAGAATCCACTTCAAGGCTATAAATCTTCAAAGATCTGCTCTGCCGTCATCATGCCTCCGTAATCTCAGCTGAAATGAAAAGAAAAGATGATTCTGTGATTATCTTTGTCCTCCCGGTGTACAGACAGAAAAGTACAGCTTTAATTGTTCTGTCTGACCTATTTCTACCTGCATAGCGTCAGATTTATTTGGAACGGGTATATAACAAGGGATACTTGTAAATGGGGTTTTAAACTGTCACTGTTTCCTGTTGTAGTGTTTTGTAATGCCTTATGTATATCATGAACAGTTTGCTGTAATGCAGAAGTTACAACAACTCTTTAGGTTGTACAGAATGAAATCTGGATTCCTTGCTTATATTTTTCTTTGCATATTGTATCTTGCCTTGTCTTTTTATCCAATTAATGCTTGTCTGTCAAAAAACTGTTTGACCCTTGACCTCCTGGGAGAAGGCTGCAGTCTTTGCTGTTTTCTATCCATGACACTAATCTCTTTTAAACTTAGCCTGAAAAGAAGTGATTTTAATTATCACTCCAACATTATTGACAGGGTGCCAGTGTCCAATAAACAACTGTCAGTTCCTACCTTTTCAGGGTATAACTGTGTTTTAACAGGGCATTGGGCTGGTTAAATACACGTTTAAGAGCTGCAACAATGAAGGAAGTAAATGTGTGTGTTAATGGAGCGGTGACAGACAAGCTCCCCCTCCTTCAAAGGCCTGAAAAACAGGTGCACAACATGACAGACGTACAATGGTGCGTGACTTCTTCAGTAAATGTTTCAATGCCACGAGCTCTGTATTGTTGCCCCGGTAACACTTGTTTCAGTCACGTCTATGACTGAGAACACTCACATGGCTGAGACACACCCTGAGGCGCACCTGTACAGCCAAACAGAAATGGAAACACCTAAATCTCTTCCTTTTTCAAAACCAACAGAGAAGTTATTAGAGCATGATATATTTTTAGGCTCACAATACAAAAGGCTTTTTTTCTGATCTGGTGTAAAGTGCAGCAGCTTCCTCCTCAGGTGTTGGATAACTGCAGAGCGAGACACACATGAGCTAAAGTGATTGAATGTGACGTCCACCTGTTTGGGTTGACGTTTCAGGGGCGTGCCACGCGTGTCAGCTATTGATTCTGCATGAGAAAGTCACAGTAAATTTGCTCAGCCAACAGCACAAGCCTTGTTCTGGTCTTGTTATGCAATGTTTGTGGTTTATTTGGATTTAACCCATGAGAAGCGATGCTGCCTGAAAAAGAAGAAAAAGTCATGAAAGGTCCCGGAGTTTGTTCATGTCAGCACATGTTTGCTCCCTCTACCAGGTAAAGTTATGGTGCCGGTGGTGGGGTTTTATTTTCTTTCACTGGGACCTCGACTCAACTCAGAAGTCACTGCTGGATTACTGGACTTGTTCATTTATGGATATGTATGAATCACTTCCTTTGTGCAGTTGTAAACCTCTGACTTACTTTAAAGTCAATTTTGTTGCATTATCTTACTTTTATTTGACATTTAGGGACAGTTTAATGTGGCAGTGGTTAACACAGTTTTAAGATGAGTAAAGAATCCAGGAGAAGATGCACCTGCTGCACAACACAGTGGTTCAGCTCAAAACAGGTTGAGGTGCTATAAAGGTGATTTCCATGAGGGATGAATCCATGTATATGATCTAGTGATGCATATTTGAATCCATACAAACTAAACTTTTTCACCTTTTCATTTGTAGAATCTTCTTTCACATTGTACATTGTGAATTTTAGGTACAATATTTACAGTATAAATCATTTGAATTTAATTCAGCTTAGAAACACGTGTTCTTTTGCTGCCTTAAAAATGTGACTTAACTGCACTTCAGTTGATTAATTAGTTTAAAGTCATCTTATGAGTTGTGAAAGTTTAAAATTAGGTAATTTAGATTCATTTAAATCGAGAAAATCTGTAAGAAAAAAAGACTTGAGAAAAAACTCATCATATAGACAATGACTGCAGACAGACCTGCTTTTCTAATAAGTTTTCTAAGTGTATAGAGTTTATTAACCTGTTAAAAATACGTAAACATATCTTAATTTACCAAAGATACACAGCAAGTTTTTTTT